GTCATGTGATAAAACTGTAACAGAACCTGCTAAAGAATCACTGATTTCTCCACCAGAATTATATGAAACTGACTCAGAAACAAAGAGACATTACAATGCCTTTGAAAATGAGGTTTTTTTCCAGGCTTAAACCTTAATTTCGCTAAAAGGACCTTTCTGTATTTGTACAGTTTTATCTTATAGCAATAAACATTAACTTTCATATGCAGAATTTGTACACATGAAGTGCAAAATGCAGAAGAGACAATTGATCTTGCGGTTTTCCCACAGACATTAACTTCTTTTTTGTGCTGAGGATATTGTATCTTTCCAACTCTGAAATCCCCTTGTTGAAACCTATCCCAGTATAAACTGCTGCCCCGCTCTCAGCACCTTCAACCGCTTCTATCATATCAAAGCAAGGGCCAACTTCTAAATCCTTAAGTCCTACTTTCAGCAACTGTCATTTTGCTGTTAGAAACACCACATTGCTTAGGTCTTTGTTTTGTTAAATCTCCTTTATCAATACCCTATTTTCCATGCCTTTTACTGGAGCATCTGAGGTGTGCAGATTCAAGGTGGGGGGGTGTGTGTGTCTGTACACGCAGCACTTCACGTATTTTGACAAGAACTAAGATGGTGCATTTGACTGGTGGGGGGAATATTCCTTTAGAAAAAGGAAAGAGGTTCAGTTAAATTTTCCTCAGAATAATAGTGGTAACAAGATAAAAATACCTGGTACTCCAATTTAAAACAAGTATTCAGGTGTAACTTTGTAACACTGTAACTAACTCACCAGGAAGCAGCTGTGTTTCACAGGCAAGACATCCAAGACTGCAGCCCCCCACCCCCAAAGCCTGTAGCAACTACAATCAGCTTATAACTTGACTGTGTTATGCTCTGTCACTTCAATCTCGTCAGAGTTTTGTTATTAAACTACAAAGCAGTTTAATAATAAAAAGTTCTCATTTCATTATGTGGAAGGCTAGGCCAGATGAGAGAAAGGTATGTGTGTTTTGAACTAATTTTCAAATCCAGACTGGGACTCAAGGTCACTGTAGCAGAGGCTGTAATGGCCGAAATCCAATGCTCATCCTCTGAGCAGCAGCTGTTTAACACCACGATGCTTGCCACATTTTGCTATCCAAACCCAGTTTGAAAGAACACTTCTCAACCTCTATGGATTTCAGAACAATATTTTTTTTAAGAAAGTTATATAGCTACCTTGCTTTATTTGCTAAGTAAACCCACCATGAAGCATGTGAACAGTGTATAAAAACTACTGATAATCTTAACTCAATAAAGGTACAGAAACATTGTCAAGGTACATGAAAAAAGACCCTTATATTTGAATAGCATTAAAGTATAAATAGCTCATATTTGGGAACCCAGATAAGTCACAGCACTTCATAGAAGCGTTTGTTCTCCAAAACAGGAAACACTGCTCAGCGCACAGAAGCACATTACATGAACAGGGATTTCCTGAACAGCTCTCCCTTGGCTTGTTACACACCCACAGCCAAGCCAGGCTAGGAGAGGAGATGTGCCTGAGCGCAGCCAGCCAGCCCTGCCTGCGCTGCTCATCCTCATTTCCCAGCCGGGCGAGCTGTCTCTCAAGAAACAGAAGCAGCTGTAGCCTGCACCTTCCCGTATTTGAGGCCTATTTCTGGAGGCCCAAGAAGAGCCGTCGCCGTGCAGGAGGAAGCGCTGAGACTCAGCCCAGACCCTCTCTGACCCCCAGTAACATCTCCTTTCCCCGCAGAGCCGAGCCGGGCCGGGCCACAG